CTTGGATTCAAGGAACAGCTCTTGAATCCAGCTCCCTTCCTAATGCACTTTGTGGGAAGCAGCAAGTGAAGGCTGAAGTGCTTGGGTCCCTGCCTGGGAGACAAGACTAAGCTCTGGGCTTTGGCCTTCAGTCTGGGCCAACCCTGGCAATTGAGAGCACTGAGGAAGCAAACAAGTAGATAGAATGTTCCACTGTCTCGGGCTCTTACTTGCTCTGCTTTTCAAACAATTCTTAAAACACACTTTTGATGAGGACAATATAAATACAAAGCAGTATTAAGTAGTAAACAGCAACAAAGATACGAGGTGCAATCTCTTAAGTGTTGTTCTGTAATAGGCTGTCTAGTATAGGTTGGTAAGAATTTAAAGAGAACTAGAAAAAATAATGGAGTTGGAATGCATAGCTTCAAACACCATAGGAAAAATAATGCAACTGATAGAAGGTGAGAAACAGGACAGAAAATGAGCAAGGAAAAACCACAATCGGAAAAAGAAAATTGGCAATCACTCCAGTAAATCAGTAATCACAGGAAATGTAAATAAATTACCAGTCAGGTGTTAAAATGAAGACTAGCACAGTTGAAATAAAAATTTTTTTTTTTTACTGACAGTAAAACCATAATGGAATATGTGCTCATATAAATTATTATTTACATATGTTTATGTACATATGCCTACAATGCCAGATCTTAGCAGCAGAATGCTGAGGTTATACTTTGTCAAGGGCCAGAAGATGTGAATGATCAATGTTGTCTGCCCCAAGTTAGTGCCAGTAAATTACAGAAAAGCCTGGATAAGACACAGAAGACGTATTATCATCTAGCTTGATGCCAAAAGTAGCAAAAACACCCGTTAACTTTGGTAACATCAACTCTGCATCCTGAGCACAAGGCTGGAAAAGTATCTAGCATCAGAACCCTTAGAAATCAGTCAAAACATCAAAACATTTTTAAAAAGCAACTCACATAAATCCTCTGAACTTTTCTTTCATTGCTTAAATTGGTTACATCTGGTGTTGAAAATAGCACAAAGTCTGTTGCTAGAAGTTGCTTGATGTTTAAGTTAATAAAACTAAGCCAAGGCCCTCCGAAGCCCTTGCCCATGCTGACGTGGAAGTGTTCTCCTGTGTGTCTAAAGGGTGGAACGTGTTTGATTTGTGGGAAGGTGTGCCATATTTACACATTCTCCAGGAACTTAACTCAGCAGCTCTCAAACTTGGCACCTTGGAATCATCTGAGGGGACTTTTAAAAACAGGCAGTGCCTCAGAACTACTTAAATCCCAATGTCTGGATGGGACTTGAGCATAAGTCATTTTTGAAACTGCCCAGGGCATCCCAATGTGCAGATAAATTTGGGACCAGTGTTCTAAGAAGAATGGAAAAAGAGGCAACTTCCAAATCACAGAGACCTGTGTTTTGATAGTTGGTATGTAGTCAGAGTGCAAAAGCAGGTGACTTCCAAGACAATTGAAATTGACCTGTGATTTAGTGAGTTTTTGTATGGTCAAGGGCTCAAACAGCTGCTTCCAAGACATTGTTTTCCAAGAAGTATTTCTTACTTTCTGAGTCCCCTTCCAAATTATAATAAAAAATAACTTGAAAGTGAAGCCTTTACTTCTTTCAAGACCATTCAAATTCATATTTTCAATCCATGAAATACGAATTCACACCCTTATCTCCCATACACCTGGGTTACTTCATTATAGTCCAGATTGTTATCTGTTGGTGCTTAAAAATGCTAACCTCTGTTCTTCCTAACAGTGCTGTGCATTAAATAGACATATACACGTATCTTTAAATTTAGAGTGCTTTTAGGGAGGGAGAAATATGTAAAGAAACCAACTCAGCTCACAGCACATTTTGAATGTTTTTTCTGCAGATGGAGTCCTAGCTCACAGTCGATTTAGTGAATGTGTTTCTGCCACCTAATGGGCATTTGAGAATATGCCACGCAAGATTCATTTTTGTAACCACAGTGCCTGTGCAAAGAGGAAGATCAATAGTGAACAATTTAGAATCTACTTATTTTTGGTTTACAGAGGCCTTGGCAACATATATGTATGACAAATACCTAGAGATGGATGTTTCATGATTTTCCAGAGGTCCTGATACCACCGGCAACGTGTTTTTCATTTATTTATATTTGAAAGGCAGTGACAGAGACATAGGCAGAGAGGAAGAGAGAGAAAGAGAGACAGGAAGGAAGGGAGAGAAGGAGAGAGGAAGGAAAGAAGTTAGTCTTCTATCTCTAAGAGCCAGGCAGGGCTGAACCAGGCTGAAGACAGGAACCCAGAACACCATCCTAGTCTCCCATGAAGGTGACAGGGGTCCTAGTATTGGAACCATCACCTGCTGTCCCCCAGGGTGTACACTGGCAGGAAGCTGGATTGGGAGTGCAGAGTGGGAACCTGAGCCCAAGCACTGAGGTATGCGATGTGGGCATCTCAAGGAGTGCCTTAACTGCTGTGCCAAATACCCACCCTCACAGCCAGCTTTTTGCTTCAATTCAATTTGATTCCCCCCCCTTTGTTTCTTTTATGTGTATATATATTTTTTTTTTAAATTGCATTTCATTTTATAACAACGTTTCATAGGCTCTGATGTTCCCCCTTCCCTTTTCCTTGCCCTCCCCCCATGGTGGACTGTTCACCTTATTGCAGTATTACAGTTCAAATCCAGTCTTGTTTCTTTCATTGCAAGCATGTGCCATTCATAAAGTCCAGTATCTTATTGCCCAGCTGAATTCAACAGTTTCTTGGGGAGACCAACCCTGGTCTGAAGACATAGCTGGCAGAATATCGTTCCGACCAATTAAAAGCCATAACATAACATCAACAACAGTTTCCAACATTATGGGGTTAATTAACATTGTATTGAGTGACCGATATGTTAGACAATGTGAGTTCTTAACCACATCCTGTGACTACTTCGTTAACATTTCAATTATAATTTGTATACAACTGGCTTCTATCTATCTTAAATTGGCTATAGGATACTATTTAGCTGTCTCATGTCAATTTTCATTTTAGTTTTTAGTAGTTTATTGTATTGAAGCATAATTTTTACTGAACTTGGCAGTTTTTGGGATAGTCTAGACTGGCTTATACCTCCAGCAAGGGATGTGACACCAGTTGAAGCATAGAACACTTTTGGGAGGGGTGTGCAGAGAAATCCTTCCTACCCTAGTTAGGAGTAGTTTATTTTCGTGTCCTACCTAGTAAGGTATGTGAGTCCCTACTGATCGTTTCTTGTCTAGTTCTAAGCTTTCCTTGATGTTCTCTGACTATTCTAATTTTTTTTGTTGTTTTTTTTTGGGGGGGGGGCCTCCAGGGCGATGCTGATGGTCATTGAAAGAGAGGGTGGGGAGACCACACAGGAGCTAATTAGCACCATTAGCCTGCACTACCTCTGGCAGCCCCTTCCAGCTTCTGTCTTCTTTTTCTAAAAATCAAAATCTTGGTGAGAGTAAGGACAGGACATCTCAAGTCCCACTGCTCAGCCTCAGGGGTAGTGCTGCTCTGAGCAGCCTTTGGTACCATTTCTCTTCAATCAGTGGTGTGTGTGTGTGTACATGTACTTGGGGGTAGGGGTGTGCAAACAGTGACATAGAATCATGTGGGAAAATGTGAATTACAAATAAATAAAGGCATAAACAAGCAACAGCTGCTCCTTGCAAATTTCTGACAGAACATTGCCTGGCAGGTTTTTTTTTTCTAATTTATTTATTTTTATTGAAAGGCAAGTATACAGAGAGGAGAAACAGGACAATGTTCCATCCATTGATTCACTTCCCAAGTGGCTGCAATGGCTGGAGCAGAGCCGATCCGAAGCCAGAAGCTGGGTCTCCGTGTGAGTGCAGGAACCCAAGACTTTGGGCTAATCTCAATTGCTTTCCCAGGCCACGAGCAGGAAGCTGGATGGGAAGTGGGGCCATGGGGATTAGAACTGGCGCCCATATGGGATCCCAGTACATGCTAGGCGAGGACTTTAGCCCCTAGGCTACTGCGCCAGGCCTGCCTGGCAGTATTTTTTTTTATTGAGTACTGAACTGTGCTCATGCATGCAATTACCTAAACACCTACTCCACGGCGAGTGTTATCCAACATTTTCCACATCACAGCATATGATCAGCCTGGGAGCTGCAGCCACCGTAGGTCCTGCCCAGCCTGCCACTGGGAATAGCCTTTTAGGTAAACCATTAGAAGTTGGGCATTAGGGAAGCATGCTGCGTGTCCTTGATGACTGAACACTTTCTCAGAGTGCTTGTGGGAATTCATCCCCACTTCAGGCAAAACACAGGCAGCATTCAATACACTGGGGTACCAACTGCAGTCCTAGCTGCTCCACCTTTGATCCAGCTCCCTGCTGATGAACCTGGGAAAGTAGCAGAGGACAGCTCAAGTAGCCAGGCCCAAACACCCATGTGGGAGACCCTGAAGCTCCTGGCTTCTGGCTTTGGATTGGCCCAGCTTTGGCTACTGCACTCATCTGAGCAGTGAACTAGTGGATAGATGTCTTTCTCTTTGTTTCCCCTTTTCTCTGTAACTGCCCTTCATATGAAATATTAAAAAAATTAAAAAGCACAGTCATTCTGGAAAACTAGGAACTATTTATGAATACAATTTTAGTTAGGAGTACACCCACGAAGAACTGAAAACACCACCTCTAGCTTGCTAAGTATGTTTTCTACAATCTTGGGGAGTACAGTGACATGGAGTAGCTCAGCTAACCACAGTACAGAAACATGGTAACACTGCATCAGAAAGGCCAATCAAATCCTACTTTGCAATCCTACTAGGCAAAAGGCACTAAGAAACACAAGTAGAAACTGGATAGGTCAAGCATTATATATTTAATGAACTCATAAGGCATAAAACAATGATTGTGAATATCTATGTCATTTGAAAACATAGTGAAAAGAATTATGATTTTGCATTATATTATTTGTTATTGGCTAAGTAAATTAAAAATATCAAGAAGCAAAAAAATTCCACCATTTATAAGTAAAATTATTTATTTTCATAAATAAAAAGATAACTCATTATACAAATAACACCTTTAGCAGAAGTTACATGTTAGCTGTCACTGCTTGAGATGAAATGCAGTTAACACAAATTATTACATCTCTGTATAATCTTCACACAACTTCTTTACATTTGATCATTTCCCCAAATCTTCAATGCCAAGCCAGAAAGCATTATATATGATGGGATAGGATATTTCAATCACAAAGCATCATCTTAGCTGAGCCAACAGATTGTTTAATTACTGATTTAAAGTAATACCATGTTTACTGAGCTCTATAGAAGCACTGAGGATATTTCATGTTTCCAATTCATGTTTGGTGATAGAATCCACAAAAAATGTCAATGTGAAAACATTGTAACTAGGTTAACAGGCACTATTCCCTAAGATAAATAAATCCTATAGGTAGAAAACATCTGAGTAGTACTGCGTAGTTGTTAGCGAATAGCTTACAGCAAATGGGCTTTGTAACGGGCATCACACAAAATATGTGGAAATTTATTAAGTTATTTTTTCCTACAGACATCAAAATAAATCTAGAGTCCTGTTTGTTATTACTCCAGCTATTCTGGAAGCTGCAGCCTCAAATATCAGATATCATAATACAAGCAGCAATGAGCAAATCTGTATATTTACAAAAAAATCCCCACACTGTGTAGCTTTTCCTAAGGAGTGTCTCTATGAACTGTGAGCTACGATACAGTATGGAAATAGTCATTCATCTGAAAAACAGTGACTCAGAAACACATAATCTATTCATCCTTCATAATGAAATATGTATTCTTATGTCAGTATTTTATGCAGCTCTCATTTATTTCTCACAGGGCTGCTCTGTGGAATCAACAGTTTATCGTGTAACTAATCAGCATAGCACCTGGCACACAGCAAGCTCTCAATACACATTATTATTATTGTTTCTGTTTTGTGGACCAATCTGTCCATTACAACAGGAAAGCTAGCCAGCATGCCAGGAGAATAATCAAAAGGGGACAATCTTACAATGCAGGACAACTGTCATTGTGATTATGCCTCCATTATTTCCCAAATCTGCATATACTAATCTAATTCTTGGGATTACAATCTATTGTTCGGATTATACTGCATTTAAATTTGTCCTTTAAATTTATACTGTGGCCTGCAACCTAAATTAATACAATCCCAGAGGAACACTTGTATTAGAAAACCATATAAAAGCAAAGTATACTGAAACAGGCAACAGTGGCGTTTTCCTGTAACTTCTTTAACAAAGTTACCGGTGTAATTCAGGACAACCTGCCTCATAAGCTTCATTTCTTCTTTACATCATGCAAAATTTTACTTGAAAAAACACTTTCCATTCTCACTGTCTTCTTTTCCATAGAAACATTAGCAGCTACTACAAAGTTCTTTCACTAAGTAAAAAACCCATCAGAAAAGGTGCTTGTAAAAATCAACTAGGGTTATTGAAACAATGAAACACAGGGTTACAAGAATAGATATATGTTCCTGTAAGACTCAACATACCTATAAACACGGATTTTCAAGTAAATTACAGATTCTAATGTACGTAAGCAATTTGGTATGAAGGTGGTCTGTCTTTAAGTCACAGTTTTTCTACTAGAAAAGATAAATGACCGAGAACATTTCAAGTCTGTACTAAAACTAATAAAATGCTGAGGAAAAAAAAACTCTTTGTTAAAAAATTTCCTATCATTCCTTTTTTGTCAAATAAGGAGGAACATAACTTTTTCTTGTGAAAACATAAAAATATACCTGAATATGAAAACTACATGATTAGGTTCTGTGTCAACCTGAAATTATTACTACCCAGAGTTCAAAACAAGATCTACCCCAGTACACCCTTCAGAGGCACAAGAAAAACTTTCAAGTATTGTCCTGATTAAAAAGGAGAGTCTGGAAACAAAGCATGGAAACTTCTCCACTGTATTCAAAATCAAGAACACATAAACCGAAGGGAGGTTCCCTCTGAGTGAAATTCCGTGGTTCAAGCTATCTCGGTGTCTGTCTGACCTCCGGAGTCTGTTAGGATAGGTAGCACCCAGTGTCCTTCTGAGGTTTGATATCTGGTTCTTTCACAGGTTTCACATCGTCTTCTGATTTGGGTTTGGCCTAAGGAGGAAGAAAAACAGCTAAGCTCAGGATGTAAACATTAGATCTTTTCTATCTCAGGCTTTAAAAGTATGCTAGATGAAAAAAACACTGGGGTTTAGAAGGCTATTCTAGAAGCCACATGCTAATTTATTTTAACACATAATGTGAAGACAACATTTCACTGATGATGAAAACCAAAACTGGTGGGCAAAAATTAAGCCACTCTTTTCCCAATTCAATGTTCTTTCTGAAGAGGAAGTAAAAAAAACCTATGAATTCAAAACTTTCAAGTTTCAATGTAAACTAGTACAGTAATAGGCTATTTTAGAGGCCTAGCAGGATATTACAATAGCTCTTTCAGTGTAATGTCAGGAAAGGAGTTATGACTGCAAATATTATTTTGTTAGTTTGAGCCAAAAATTATCACTTAATCTACATCTTGAGTTATAACACCAAAATATACTTACATAAAAGTGAAAACAAACACATAAAAAGCATTCATTTTAGCCTTTAATTATTCATGGGATTTTGAAATGAAGTCAAACCTTAAAATGACCTACAATGTGCTAAACTGAAAACAGCATTGCTATGGCAACATACACATGATTTTTTCACCTAAGTACTAAACATGAATCATCTGTTCCTGCAGTATTCTTAAAAAATGCATCATCAAACTGAAGGGAAAAGATTGTGTTGAACACAACATCAAACCATTTTGTAGACAGTAAGAAGACATTTCTGAAGGCCCAGATGTCTTGTCTCTGACAGTGTTCTTAACAGAGCACACCAAGCACTGTAACCAACTACTTTAACATTCGGCAAATACATTTTTCTATTTAAATAGAGAAAAATATCAAAATGCTAAGTATCTTTGAAAAATTTTTAACTCTCATATATTTATGCAGTATAGCATGATGTTTCAATGTGTCCACAACTTATGCCGATCAGCTGAGGGTAATGTGTATGTCCATCACCTCAAACATGTATTATTTCTTTGTTGTCGGGTACACTCCAAATGCTTTGTACTAGTTATTCTGAAATATTTATCAACCATAGTTGTCCTCCTGTGCTACAGAACACTGAAAGTTATTCCTCTTATCCAATTGCACTCATCTGAACTAACTTTTGTGAATGGAAAAAATAAGCACATACACTGTCATCCTTGGGTCTCTTGGTGAGGTCAAAGGCGGCCAACGTCTCTGGTGTCCACTGAGTACTTGTAGGAGGAAATTCAAAAGGTACAGGCTCTACAAGGCCATAATTTGCTTTGAGTTCCAGCTGCGGAGCTTCAGTTGGAATTTTTTGAAAATAACTGTAAAAAGCAATTTAAATAGCAATTCATTCTTTTATTCAGTAACTATTTGAGTGCTTAATATATTCAAGATCTTTTGGAGGTGATAGCAATGTAATGATGAATGAGAGGTATTTCTGCTTCATGTACTCTGATGTAGGTGAGAAAGTTAAGAAACTTCTCAGTCACAATGAAAGGTAACTGAAGCTATGAAGGGCTATGAAGGATGCAGAATGCTACCATAAAATGGGCAATTAGCCCTGACCTAAGTATTCATTGACTATTCCCAAAGGAAGTGTTTAGAGGTGAACTCGTGATATCTAAGGAATGATAAAGTCAACACAAACAGACACAGAATAGAAGGCAAAAATGTAGAGAGAGAAGTGGGAGCAGACTAGATCTACTCACCTACACAAGTGGTAACTCACAGTGTGAAAGACACTGACTTAATCATGGGAAATGTTTTAAAAGTACTAGGAAGAATTGCAAAACCTCGTGCACCTGCTAAGTAGCTGAAATCAGACTGAGATGAACCAGACAGAGAGAGGTGAGCAGATCATGTCTCATACCAGAAAAACTAACAAGGAAGGATCCAGCGGCATGGCCTAGTGGTTAAGGTCCTCGCCTTGAACACGCTGGGATCCCATATGGGCGCCGGTTCTAATCCCGGCAGCTCCACTTCCCATCCAGCTCCCTGCTTGTGGCCTGGGAAAGCAGTCGAGGACGGCCCAAAGCCTTGGGACCCTGCGCCCGTGTGGGAGACCAGGAAGAGGCTTCTGGATCCTGGCTTCAGATCGGCATCGGCCGTCAAGGTCACTTGGGGAGTGAGTCACCGGACAGAAGATCTTCCTCTCTGTCTCTCCTCCTCTCTGTATATCTGACTTTCCAATAAATAAACAAATCTTTAAAAAAAAAAAAAAAGAAAGAAAAAAAAACTAACAAGGAAACACAGTTGACGGAAAACAGGCTGGTGTGAGTGTCCTAATGACAGCTATATGCTAATACTACTTCATGTTTAAACTTTAAAACCGCTTTAATTCTCATCAGCATAAGGAGAATTAAAAGCTAGGTTTTAGATGATTGAATTGATACCAATTTAAGCAGAAAGTTAGTGCTAAGCTGCAATACAATTAACATAAGTCTTTGAGGATAGAGATCAACAGAAATGAAGATACCACTAGAACTACCAATATTTTTAGTATATGTGCTGCCGAAACGAGCACAAGAATTACTAATATTCTTATATGCTTTAAGTATACGCCATTAATATTACTAAAGTGACACTAGGTTGTACTCACATAAACCCATTTTCTCTCTGACATTTTTCAAGTGTATTCTTCACAAGGTTTCCAAGCTTCCTGAAGAACAAGTGTCCCGACGGTTTGACTGTTGGTCCAGGTCCTTTGGTTTCTCCATATTCTTTGCACAGTGCTTCTGCTTTTGCATAAACTACATGTGAAAGAGACATAAAGTCGTGTGAGCATAACTAATCATGCTTGCTTATACTCAAAAAGCTTTATATCAGACATGAGACTTACTGCTTTTTACCCAGAATAATAGTAACACTAGTAAAAAATAACTGTAAAGGGAGAGTAGTTTTTATATGTTCTAGGTTTTACTCTTTTTTTCCAATCACCTTGACCCATTCCCAATTCCTTTTATGAACCAAGCAAGCCAAAACCCCTTCATTAACTACCCCCCAACATGCCTTATACTCTGGTGAGAAAACTTATAAAAAGAACATTACTGTGCTGGCACAATGACTTACATTTTTCTGCTTCTTGTAGAGACCTGATTGCTTCACCACATTTATCACTAGCCAACAAAGTCTGACCATGGTAACAGTAAGCCTGATGAAAGAAATACATTTTTATTCATTCTCTTTTAAACCGTTTTGATTCGTTGTTTGAAACATCAATGCAATCCTGTATCTCTACTCAAGTAAGCATTCCCTCATCTCTCTTGATATACAAGGCAGAAGTACACCAAGACTTGTACCAAAACAGTCTTTTAACCATGTCCTGAGTACCCAAGTTACTTGTTGAATTTAAAAACAAAGCCAAAAACCAAACCAGAACCACAAAGATTATTGTACTACCCCAGAGGGAGGAACAGGGTGGGTTCCGAGGTTAAGGACTAAGGCAGTTTCAAGAGAAATGTATCAGCTTGAAAGGTTATTTTTTAAAACTTTACAACAGTACAAGGATTTACGGAGTAGGCTCGAAAACAAATGATAAGAAATAAAAGTATCTACTCAGAACTCAAAAAGTTTTTTTCAGTTCTCTCCTGCAGTATTCAATCAGGAAAAGTAGGGTGAGTACAAAAGGCTGGTAAGGGACTCATTAGTGATCCTTCACCTGGCAAGGAGACACATTCACTGTATGTCACCTCTTAAGGTTAGCATGAGAAGTATCTCTCTCAGCCTAAAAGATGAGACAACTGAGAGAAATCTCATTCAATATGCAGAGTCTGAATGAGTTCTGAAGCAGACAGAAACTCTCTCCTACAATTCTACATTATCTCTTTCTACTCATTGTTCCACAATGGCTCCCTATCACTGCACAGTTACTGAGAGCTCTCCATTCTTTGCAAAATGCTAATGAAAAGTGCACTGAGATGAGAGCCCTGGCACACAAGGGACTGGCCAATCCTTTGCAGTGATTTTCTAGGTTATAAATACTCACATAAGCTGTGTAGAAGCACATTTTCAAGTGAAGATATTTTCTCCATTTAGCAGAGTATGCAGGCTCCAAACTGGATAAAGTATGATCTAAAGTTACATTTTAAAAAGCAAAATATAATTTCACCCTGATTCACTTTCAGTTAATATGTTCTGATACTAACTCAAGCACTTAGTCAAATAAAATTCTTTGTTCAAAGTGATTTATTTCCCCAAACTGTATTTTAAGCCACATAGTAAGATTAACTTCAAGGACAGCTCTTTGATTTGTTGGTTCTTGTAACTTTAAGAAAAAATTCATGTAACAACATTCAAGTCAGAAACATGGAAAGCCCTCATATTTCATCTACTCCCTCATCCATGAAACTTGTATAAAACACCCCCACGTAGCCGTCTGCCACTTTCCCAATTTACGTTTCATTGTCTTTGTCTAAGCTTTCATTTCCTTCATAAACTATGACCATTTCTTAAAAAAAAAAAAGTTTATTTGAAAGGTAGAGCAACAGGGAGAAACTGAAAGATGTTCTGTATGGTAATTCATTAGCCAAAGAAATGGCCAAAACAGCCAGATCAGGACCAGGTTGAAGCCCAGAGTCAGGAGCTTCCTCCTGTTCTCCCAGCTGAATGGCAAAGGCCTAAGAACTTGCTTGGGCAGTATCTTGCTGCCCTCCCAACAGGTAGCTGGATAAAGAGCAGAGCAGCTGAGATGTGTCTTGACGTGGGATGTGGGTGCCTTGAGGTATAGCTTAACCACTGTATCCTAAAACTGGCCTCCAAGAATTCTAAGAGCTGAGTAAAGACAGCCTGTTACTCTTTGATGTGATAAACTTGGCTCTCGGAAAAACGTAGGAACGGTTCTTATATTCAAACTTAAGGCAAACTTGCTTTGTATTCTTTAATAGATCCCAAATACCCACAAAATAAAATGCAAACTTTCCAGACTTAGAAATCAATCCCTGCTCTCACACATGCACATTTTCCCAATCTTGATTCCTACCCCTCATCAGGTGTTTCAGCTAACAGCAACAGTGTAAAGGTAAGGTAAGTGTAAGGTCCCAGGACACACTAAGTTTTTATCTCTGTACATACTAAAAAATGTTCTGATCCCATATGCCACATTTTTAAGGGTGGGATATACAACCCATTGGCCATGTAAGGTCTGCAAAATCATTTGGTTTGTGTCCTGCCAAGGCAACTGCAGTCAGGACAACAAATTCAGTAAGACTATAGCAGGCTAAGTTAAACTGATAATTTTATATGGCCTGAAAATATTACAAACATTCAAATGACCTTTAGTAGAAAAAGGGTTCCTAACCCCGAAAGCTTTCTAAAAAAATTTCTATTGATATTTAAAACTAAGGCTAAAACACAACCTCTCTCAAAAAAGCTTTCTTCGCTCTAGTCCATGTAGGTTGTTTCATTGCTGTAATGACTTACTTCATGACAAAATAATTTGTTCATATATTAGTCTCATACTGTGAATCCATTTTATTTTTCTCTACTCAGCAATTAAAACAGTAATGATCTCATGAACAGAAGCAAGCATGTTCCTAAAATAAGTGAATGCGAAGGATGACAGCTTAATGAAAGGGAGCATTTCCATTCTGAATCTCCCACCTGACAGCAGTTATGTTGTAAATTAGTCATGTCAAGTCTCTAGACTTCAGTTTCTGTGTAAAGATTATATCATTACCTTCCACCCCCTAAAATTTTTTTTAAAAGTTGTATGGTTATTCAGTATGACAGGTTAAGAAGTATACTACTGACTTATCCATTAGAAGTTAGGCAGCATGTTAACTGCGATCAGGTTACCTAGTTTTTATGTTCAACAAGCTAACTAAAATCACAGAAATACTGTTTTTCAATAATAAAATAATCTAAGGACTTTTATTTTGTTCCCTATTCATCCACAAGCAAGTAAATCTGAAAACTGAAAGTGTAATAGAATCTTAAACTCACCAGCTTTTTGATAGAAATTGGCTGTTTCATATGCCAAAGCAGCAATTAGTCCAGGTGCATGTTTTAATTCAATTGCTCGAGCAATTGTTACTGTAACCAAATACAACAAAGTAAATGTATAAATTTAATTCTATGTTTCCAAAATGTAACTATAAATGCAAAATAAAATCTGATGGTGTTTTTGGAATTTTCCTAGTGTGTTAAAAGTCGTAGCATGAAAAGTAACAGAAAGTACAGACATGAACAACAGAAAACACCAAGGTTTTTGGTTTGATATCATTTCTTTAAATAAATTATTAGCCAATTACTAGCTCATCACAGTGATTTACTACCATAAAGCAGCATGATATGGTAGGAAAAATACTTTCAGAGAACTGGAGTTTGAAATAAAAAATAAAAAGAAATTACATCATCACACTATTCCTATCACTTCTTGCCAGTGAAAAGCAAGGACTTCAAGGCAAGCTAAGACAAACAGTGGGAGATGAAAAATAATGAGTGTGGTATTCTGGGGTGAGTGGAAGTTTATGCTGTCAGAAATGGCATGAAGTAAAAATGTTCTTAAAAGGTTGTTTCTTACAGAGAATCAGGGCAAACACTAAAGATAAAATTATGCCTCACTATAAATTTCTCAAAATCTGAAACTCAATTGCAGCAAATTCTGATTTTTTCAAAGAACTAAATGCCAATATAGTCTTCCTTTAAAAAAGAAAATATTGCAACGTATCGGATACCTTCTTGAGCTTCAGCCTGACACTGGATAATATACGCATCTAGGAGCCGAGCCTCTAAATCCCTTCCCTTTTCTGCAGGTGTGATAAGTTTTGGCAGTTGACTTTCCTGAGGGAGAAAGAAAACAAAAAAGCCACATAGCATTTCAACCTGTTAGAGATGAAGAAAATGGAGGTTCTGATACACTTGATTTGAGGGCTTTGCAGAAATTTAGGGAAAAACTAAAAAAAGTACAAAAAAAGAACAAAGGTAAACTCACACAAAATACAATAATAGCAAGAAACCCAAAAATGAAACTTGGGTTATAACAGATTGCTTAATTTGTAAGCCACACCTCAATTTCACAAACTATTTAAATTGTAACCAAAATTTTCTTTTGCCTGAATTGTCCATTCACAATAATTAAAGACATAAAAAAGAAAAAATAACTCCTCCTCCCCGCCCCACCAAAGGCAGGACCACAGCTTCTCAAGCCCTCTGAAGGCACCAGGTCACTTGTATCTTATCATGAGAAAAAGCCAACGCTGGCCCCCAGGAAGGCTCTGATAAACAGCGGCTTAATCAAAAAGGGTGCAGGGACAATCTGGCTGGAAGATACATTTTTTCTTTCTTTCTTCTGGTTCCCATCACATCTTGGACATACAATGTCATCAGGCTCCTCTCAGCACTGCACACTGATGCTGAGCTCACAATCACAAGCTCAGCTTAGTGGAATCATGATTGCTCCTGGCAACTGCAGAATGGTAAAATAACGGTCACAGCCACCGATTTTTCTGCTTTACTTTTTCTTCTTTTTAGAAGAGACAAAAATGAGCAGCATATTACAGTCTGAATTTTCTAATTATAGGAATCAATGATGATTTTAAGATCACACCTAATATCCAGTAACTGGCTCCTCAGTAAGGTAATAAACGTGAGGAAAACACACACACAGATTTGGTCCTGTATAGTCCAAAGGTTCCCAATCTGCCAGTTCAACCAACCTCAAGTAGGACTACGTGAAGGGGAAAACCGTGTCAATGAGAACATGTGCTGGCTTCTTCCCTTGTCATTATTGCCAATGCACAGAACAACTATTCACGCAGCACTGAACTAGAGATGATTTAAAATATGCAGCAGAGAGGATGTGCACCTATCACATGCAAATTCCATGCCATTTTATATAAAAGCTTGAACATAGAAAGTTAAGACCATGGGATCAATCCCCTGAGGATACCAAGGGACAACTTTATTAGCTCTTTTCATATAATCAAACAGTTCTTCACTCTCTAAAACAGAAAAATGTGAAAATTATTTAAAAATTGATGCTTTTTTTTTTTTACCTTTAAGTGCTTAAAAATCCCAGCCGCAATCTTCAGGCTTCGGTGGACATCTTTTGCTTCTTCTTCTGTTATGCTTAAAGAAAGTGGTCACACTAGTTTAGAAGATCAAACCTGTTTGTGGTATTACAGCAATTAGTACTGTATCATAAAACCCAATTAGGCAATCATGACAGCCTCTTAACAGAAGGTCATATGCACAGAGCTGGAGACACCCCAGAGTGGAGCAGGAGGACAGGAGGAGGCTTGTATCCCAACGCTGGAGACTCCCAGATCTTCACCAAGGACTATATCCCAACTGCCAAGGAGACCACGGGGAACTGGAGTGACCTCACAGACCAAGAACTCTGAGGTCATCCATTCCCTATTGGATCTCCCACACTGGATGGAAGAAGCCCAGATCCTTCCTTACAGGATCTAATGTCATCGGAACAACAGCCAGGATCCCTTAGTGGTCCTCAGAACAACAGTAAACTTCCTTTGGGACTCAGGAGAGGAGTTTTCTCTGATCCTTACTTAATTCCAACTTTGGATCCCCACGCTCTCTGGCAATGATCATTAGGGTCACTCCAGAGCCCCCCCCCCCCACCACCACCCAAAAGAATTAGAGTAGATAGACAGAGACCAATAAGGAATGCTTAGAACAGACAGGAAGCAGTCAGCTTGGACTCACATATACCTTATTAGGTAGGACACAAAGATTAGTTACTCCTCACTAAGGTATTGAAGATTTCTCTACACACCCCTCCTAAAACTGTTCTGCGCCTCAATTGTTAACATATGCCTGTTAGAGTTATAAGCTTGTTTGGACTATCCTAAAATTATCCAAGTTCAGTAAAAATCATGCTTCAATACTGTAAGTGGTAAAATATAAAAATGAAAATAGATATGAGACAGCTGAATAGTACCCTATAACCATTTAAGGTGTATAGAAGCTGGTTGTATATAAACTAAAATCGAAATGTCAATGAAGTAGTTACAGGATGTGGTTAAGAACTTGCATTTTCTAACATATTGGTCACTCAATACCATGTCAATTAATTTCATGATGTTGTAAATTGTTGAAGTTGTGCTGTGGCTTTTCATTAGAGGGGATGATATTCTGCCAGTTCTATTCTCAGACCAGGGATGGTCTCCCAATGAAACTGTTGAATTTATCTGGACAATAAGATGCTAGACTCTATGCATGGTTCATGCCAGCAATGAAGGAAACATGACTGGATATGAACTGTAATACTGTAACAATGTGGAGGAATCCAACATGGGGGGAGGGCTTTTTGGAGGAGCTGAGGTAATCCCAGAGCCTATGAAACTGTGTCATAAAACGAAATTAAAAAGAAAGAAACAAAGAAATCCAGAGAGTAGAATATGGAAGAATTATAGGATATCAGCTTTTCCCCATGACAGTCATAAAAAAAAAAAAAACCAATTAGGAAATTGTGTTTTTGTCAGTTTCTCTTCCTTTAAAAAAAAAAAATCTAAATTTGACACTTACAAAGCAACAAAAGCACAGATACTTAAAGAGAAAATACTACACATGAAAAAAAAGCCTTGCGGCCCAGCGACGTGGCCTAGTGGCTAAAGTCCTTGCCTTGAATACACCCTGGATCCCATATGGGTGCCGGTTCTAATCCCGGCAGCTCCACTTCCCATCCAGCTCCCTGCTTGTGGCCTGGGAAAGCAGTCGAGGACACCCAAGGCTTTGGGACCCTGCACTCGCGTGGGATACCCAGAAGAAGTTCCCAGCTTCGGATCGGTGCAGCACCGGCCATTGTGCTCACTATATCTGACTTTGTAATAAAAATAAATAAATCTTAAAAAAAAAAAGTCTTGCCTTCAGGTAAAGACAGAAATGCCCTGCTTTCTTTCCAGCCATCCTATATATATTAAAAAGTATAAAATATTATACATTTAATATTTAGTTATCATTAACAACACATAAAGTGATAGCTGTTTCATGACCCCAGTCTTGCTTTAATCACCTTAATTTAGAGATAGCTTAATATCAACACTTACAAATTCACTTCATTTTTAAATAGTTGCATGTTATTCTCACATACAAAATACTGTGCCAGTTTCAAATTGTTGTACATACTTCAGCTATTGTAAGTTACACTGTAATCTTGCAATTCTTCAATTCACAAAAACACATTTTCACATGCTTATAGGCCTTCCATATTTCTCTTTTTGATTGCCTAGTCATTGTCTTTTACTATTTTTTTTCAACTGACTTGGTAGTCTGTTGATTTGTAAGCATATACACTTTAGAAACAATTTACCACATGCACTGCAAGGTTTTTGACCAATCTTTTCCCTTTTTTCATTTGATAATTATAGGTAGTGAAATATTAAAATCCCTTCCCCTATGATTTCTTGCTTTGGAATCTTCAGAAAAGCCTACAACAAAATAACCTCTACCCTCCTTAACACTATCTCTGTAATTGTAGCAGTTAACCCACTAACATTATGAGGCAATTTCTTGTTTCTCCAAAGTACCTTTTAATCAACAGGCTAGACATTTTAATAATGAAGTACTATATATTTGAAAAGCAACATATAAACATATGCCCCTTCCCTTTTAACTTACTTTTCTTTTCCAGCCAGTCTTGAAGCATACTTGGTATACCATAAAGCTACATTAAACCCCATGGAAATCAATTCAAAGACAGCATCCTGCTGGGCACTGGAATTCAAAATACAATCATTAGATTCTGCTGCTGTATCAAGATGCTGAACATCAAAATCAAAACGATAGAACTGTATGTTAACGGCATATACAAAATGAATTTTATGTTTAATAAAGATGGGGAGACAGAATCCTCAAGTAATTAACAATGAATGGCTACATATAATGGCTCAGTATTTTACTACACCATTTCATAATAAACATGGGATAAGTAACTCCTGAAATTCACTAGACACAAAGCAGCTTTAAAAACACAGGTTCCTGGGACTTCAATCTCTAGACAGAAAGTCTAGAAGGTAGCCCGGAATCTGTGTTCTTTGGAAGCACTTGGCTGAAAAAAACACTAAGCAGAAGCACCTTGCTGCTACATGCTGTTACACAGCAGTAAATATAAATCCAATATCCATGGCCTTCTCACTGTCCTGTAACCCCTTGTCCAGGTATTTCAACTATCTCCATACTCTTCACTCTGTTTATATAAAACATTATTTTTAAAGCAAATGAGGAAATTAATGGGTGTGTCAGAAATTCAGTGGTGCTTTTAAAAGATAAATTTCAAAAAAAATTAGGTCCACTGTGAACTTTTTTCTGTTACAATTTCCAATGAATAATGAAAAAGCTTTGAAGCTTTCAAGAATTGAAGAAACAGGTAAGGGAAGGAACAAAATAAACACTGTGAAACAAAAGTGTACAGAGTTAGAGATCAGTGGACTAATTAGCCACATCTGAATGATCCCAGGTCAAGATCTGCTCAGCTTGACCTCAGCACATTGTAACCAGGTGGGGTTCACAATTCCCAAACCATTTTTCGTGTGTTGAATCTAGGTAAAAAATCTGCATTGATTATCTCAAAAATTTATATAATCTGGGAGAAACAAACTATGTTTACTTAATGTTGAGTACCAGAATTTAAGTTAAATGCTTTAATTTCCTGAGAAGAGAAAATGTTGACCATTCCTACACATTTCTACCTCAAACACAGAAGCAATGAGTTACACGCTAGTTACATTGTTAAGAAAACTAGCTTCAATGTAGTGTTACATCATCATTGCTTACCTGGGAACCTGTCCTTGTAATGTATCAGTCCACTTGAAATTCTGAATATATCGTAACTTGCTTTCTTGAGTAGATCCATCCAATGAATTTATGAAACCTTTAAAAGGATTCAAGACAATCTGGTTTTAGAATATTTAGTGATCTATTCAGAAACATTTTCAGGGGCCAGTGCCATGGCATATAATCTAAACTTCTGCTTGTGGCACCAGTGTCCCATGTAGGTGCCGTTTTGTGTACCAGCTGCTCCACTTCCCATCCAGCTCCCTGCTCTGGCCTTGGAAAGCAGCAGAGGATGGCCCAAGTGCTTGGGCACCTGCTACCCAGCAGACCTAAATGGAGTTCCAGGCTCCTGGCTTTGCCCCAGCCTAGCCCCAGCCATTGTGGCTGTTTCTCTTTCCCCCTCTAACTCAGCCTTTCCAATACAAATAAATAAATCTTAAAAAAGAGAGAGAGAGAAAAAAATATTTTGAGACATTTACCTCTTCAGGTTTGGGTGAAAGCTTTTTTTTTTCTTTAGACTTATTTATTTTCCTTGGAAAGGTAGGTTTATAGAGAGAAGGAGAAACAGATCTTCCATTCACTGGTTCATTCCCAAATGGTCACAAAGGCTGGAGCTGAGCCAATCTGAAGCCAAAAGCTAGAAGCTTCATTCTCACACATGCATGCAGGGGCCCAAGGCTTTGGGCCATCCTTGCTGCTTTCCTAGGCCACTGAAGCGGCCAGGACATGAACTGGCACTGATATGAGTAGGACCCCCATGCTTGTAGGGGAAGGACTAGCTAATTGAGCCATCTTGCCAGGTCCCGGGCGAAACTTCTAACTCGTGTTCCTTCTCCCATCCTAACCTAACATTTAATTTTCAGAACATCACAAAGACGATATGTGATGATTGCATTCTCACAGTTCTTAAAAGTAAGCATACCAAAGAATATAGCCTTAAAAAAACCCAACTATATAGAAGTCGACAGAGATAACTAACCTTGTAAAAGTGAGAAATACAAATCTGCTGCATTCTTCATCATTTCTGGATTACAGCTTAAATCAGTGAACAGCTCAAGGAGTCTTGTTCTGGATGATCTCAACTCACTTCCAGGAGAAAGATGAGATTCATAAGTACAATTACAAAGAAATTATGTAAAAATACCCAATACGTTTCAACATACAAGCTATCCAGCACCACACAACCTTCCCCACATACTGTTTCTAAGCTATTACCATGTGTACCGGAATAACTTCAATTCAGTCTAAAAAAGATAAATTAAGTTTCTAATTGCAATTGTTTTTAAAATTGTACTGAAATAAACCCAATCCAATCAGGGTAAATCACAGATAATATCATGTAATAAAAATACAAAATTTTAACTTAAAAAATCAAACTGCACATATCTAAGACAGGGAGAGGAATTATGAATACATTTAGCTGGGTAACAAAAGTGCTTTGAAAAATGAAAATGTAATCTTAGTTTAATACTAGCATCTACTTAAATTTCCAAACTAGACATTAAACAAAGTAATATGTGTTACTAGGTGAGAAGTCATATCAAAAATGACATTGCATTTTGTAATTCAAAACACACATGAAAAACATATAAAAACAGTTGTCTTGAAACTGCCTCATCTCCATTCACTTTTGCTTCTCTGCAGCAATAAATACAAACAAATCTACTAAAAACAATCTACTTTTCCTTCCTGAAATTCTTGTCTCCCAGGACTGCATTAACATTGAATTTTGCAGCCATTCCTTTCATCTCTACACGTTTCTTCTTTATTTGTTTTTTTAATTTAAAGGAGTTTTTTTTTTTTAAAGATTTATTTTTATTGGAAAATCAGATATGCAGAGAAGAGCAGAGACAGAGAGGAAGATCTTCCGTCTGATGATTCACCCCATAAGCTGCCACAAAGGCTGGACTGCACCAATCCAAAACCAAGAGAGCTTTCTGGGTCTCCCAGGTGGGTGCAGGGTCCCAAGGCTATGGGCCATCCTCAACTGCTTTCACAGGCCACAGGCAGGGAGCTGGATTGGAAGCAGGACTGCAGGGATTAGAACAGGCACCCAAATGGGATCCTGGCATGAGCAAAGCAAGAATTTTATCTGCTAGGCTACCACACTGGGCCCTCTTCTGTATTTTAATGTGAATTTCAGAAATCAGACTACATGGTCAACGACCGAAGACAGCTGAAATGGGTGGTACTTAACTGAATCTAAGCATCATGAGCGTAGTCACTGCATACTCAGAATTTATATTCACCTTAAAATTATAGCATTTGGAAAAAAAATGTTACTTTGGAAAACAGCTAATTTAGGTTCTTTACTTAACAAATTACAAATCAATTAAGGTACTTCCCTATCGCTACAGATAAACAGCTAAGTTTGGCTCAAAGCCTGGGAGTCAAGATCAGGGTTGGCAGACTACACCCTGCAGCCTGTTTTTGAACAGGATTGCTCAGCCCTCAAACTGAGAATGGGTGTCACATCTTTAAAGAGATATGAGTAAACAAAGAATAGCAGTAGTCCTGTATGTGATCCACAAAGCCTAAAATACTTACTATTTCACTATTAAAAAACAAAAAACCTTACTGACCTGGGATTTAAAATAACACACCAATGTTCCTCTCTTTTGCTTCAAACCACGTCTTCCCACATATGCAGCAACACTCCTCATTTTCTCTGTACTGTTCCCACCAATGTTTGAATATCTTCTGTCTCCCACACTTTGAATCCTTTTCAATCTCCCAGGGCAAATCTGCTAGTCAGGCCACTTAATTCCTGCCTTGAAACAGCTCTTTCATTTTTGGTCTCTGCGAAACCGTTCTTCTCACTATCCTGAGAACCAAGGTTTTTCCCAATAGAAATCATTTCCTCCTTTTCCGTCTACCTACACAGAGATGCCTAAATACTTTCTGTAAAGGTTAGGACAGTTAAATAGTCTGGGCTTTGCAGGCCACTATTCAACTTTGCCATTGCAAAGTGATTGCAGGCAGACATATGTAAACAAACATGAGGCTGCCTTTGTTCCAGCAAAATCTTACTGATAAAACATGCAGGGGAACAAGCATTTGGTATTCCTTGAGATGTCAGTGCTTCATACTGGAGTGTCCATCAAGTCCCAGCTCCACCTCTGATGTTAACTTCCTGCTAATATGCACCCTGGGAAGAAAGAGCAGAAGACTCCAGTATCCGGGTTGCCACCACCCACATGTGAGACCCAGACTGAAGTCTTGAATCCTGACTTTAGCCTGGCCTAGCCGTGGCTATTCAGCCTTTTGGGTAGTGAACTGGAGTATGGGAGATCTCGCTCTGCTCTCTCTGCCCTTCAAATAATTAAAAAATAGCAGTGAATAAGACCTGTGGGATGTAGTCTGCCAAATCATATGGGACCTAAGCCATTCAATTTATTTATATGCTGGCTCAAGTTCACACTCTTGTATAAAAATGCTCAAGATCATTTTAACTCAGGCAACTCTCCTGCTCTGACCTCAGTGAATTTACTAGATGGACAATTTATAATGTTCATATATTACTTTATGAAATTAAATGATTGCATTTAATCATAATATATAGCCTAACTCTCTATTGTGATTGCTTTGGCCTCCCTGGGACTTGTTTGCTCATCTAAAATTGAGGACCCTGACCTAGGTGACTGCCAAAGTTTAAATAATCCTTGATCGCACTTTACCTAACATTTAAGTACATAAGGAGTCTAAGGTTAGGGACAGAGTTACACACTTTTGGATAGCTCACAGAACCTACAAAATACCTTGATATAAAAGTGACCCAACCAGTTTTGCTGAGATTGACTAAAACTTACTTGCAAATTTTTGAAGCAGGAGGCCCAGTGATTACACTGTAGTAGTTAAAAGACACAGGTGCTGTGGCTTTTAATGGGTTCCTATGAAACCAGTGTGTCATCTTCGCCAGATGTTTTCTATGGACAAAAATATATAAGTATAAATTAAAGAAAACATTTTAACATTCTAAATAGTATAGGACAAGTAAAAGATTATTACAGAATACATACATCCTGTATGTAAAGCATAATATATTTTTTAAAGATTTATTTACCTTTATTGCAAAGTCAGATATACAGAGAGGAAGAGAGACAGAGAGGAAGATCTTCTTCCTATTGATTCACTCCCCAAGTGGCTGCAATGACCGAAGCTGTGCCAGTCTCTCACACGGGTGCAGGGTCCCTAAGCTTTGGGCTGTCCTCGACTGCTTTCCCAGGCCACAGGCAGGGAGCTGGATGGGAAGCTGGGCTGCTGGGATTAGAATCGGCACCCATGCGGGATCCTGGCACGTGTAAGGCGAAGACTTTAGCCACTAGACTCTTGTGCTATGCCCTAAAGCATAATATTTTTACCGCAAGTCAATTTTGCTTAATAGTCTTCCTATGGTAACCCATGCTTAGATCAGGTCTATAAAAAATAGCATTTGGAACTCTGCCCTCAGTAAATTCAATGCTAAATATATGAGAGTATTAAGAGAAGGAAGCCCTGGTGTTTCACTGCACAGTAGGGGAAATACACATAATGACAGCGTACTGTGCACTTTTGAAAAAACATACACACACACAGAGCTGTAAGACAAAATTTGAAGGTTTTCATCACAAAGAAAGGGAGTTTGGGTAGACAAGTGTGTTTACCCTGATTTGGACATTATGTAACATATTGAATATCTCATGAAAATGCACAATCTCCATATGTTAAACAATATGCAGACAAAAATATATTCTAGAGCAGTAAATTTAACGTTCAGAGCAACCACTGAGAGGAGATGTGTTAAATGCAGGCCCTAATTCCACAGGCTAAAACAGAACCTGAAATGCTGATGTAGGTCCCCAGATTCCACTTTGTAGAAGCCAAATGCTAGGTGTGGTTAAACAGCTTCATGGGACAAGTATACAGGACCAGCTGAATGCAATTTCCAAAACAGGCTCAAGCAGGGACTTGCATGTACAATGCTGAGGTGACGTGAAGGCATTAAGTTACTCTATTTTCCCACATTAGGTCATGTCAAGGACTGGTTATAGTGTGTCCCATAATAAAAACTATTGTCAATAAGGCAACTAATAATCACTATATTTTCATAATAAATAGCACAACATTAACATCTATCATAGAAACATTAACATGTGAAAAACTACTTTAGTGAAATGACAACTTTAAAAAAAAATAAGCTACCATATCTTCAAGTCTTTAAAAAAAAAAAAGATGTACTGTATGGTCTCTTGCCAACTTCCCCGCCCCCCCAAAAAAAATCCCAAGGCAGGCAGGGCAGATAATACAGGATAATCTAGCCAAAGAACCAACTACGTTAGCTGTAGCTCTTCCAGGAACTCATACAGAAGAAGTTCTGTTCAAGTTTACTTAACTCTTTACGTGACACATTTTCAAAGTTACCGTAAGTGGTATCCTTACTGCTCAATTTGTCTTTCTAGGGGTCCTACATATAGGACAAGGGCCTACAACGGGTTAAGTTAAAGGCTTTACACACGGTTGTCAACAGAAATATGTGGGCTACGTGGTCTACCAAATAACAGAGTTAAGCAACTTCCTTATATTTACTCATTCATGACAAAACCAGTTTGTGGGAAGACCCAGGGTTTAACGAAGAGAATGCATCCCATACTCGGTGACATTGCCACAGGTTCATTTATGGCTCAAACGCTTAGCAAGTCCTTTTAGAAAGCATCCTCTAGTGTCTTGCACATTGACAGGGCCGAGAAGGCACCTACACACACCAACCGCGCCTTCCAGATAATCCCGCTCTCTGCGCCCAATCTTGTCCAGGAGGATTTTTTTTTTTTTTACAAACACTTCTGCTAGGACGGTCTCCCACTTTCTTGATGCAGTATTCACTCCTGCCTCACCTCCCACCTCCTCAGCCCGCACCCCGAGTTCTAGGGAATGCTGCGGATGGGGGTGGAAGAATGCTGCCAGACCAGCGACAGGTGCCACGGTGCCCTCACAGCAACCACCACACTGGGACTGAGACTGCAGCCTACCCCGCCTCCACAGGCCGACTCAAAGTCCCGACAGGGAGCCCCAGCTCCCTAGGCGCCAGGTCCCCCAGAACCTACCTGAGCCCAGCTCCCGAGCTCACTTCCTGTTTACCAGCAGGTCTCTTCCCAGACCGCTCCGTACAAGGCGCCGGGCGGTGACACGCGCATGCGCCCAGCCCCCCCTCCCTGGGCGTTTTTTGGGAAGGCCGACTATCGCCCCTACCAACGACGAATCCCCAAACACTCCTATTTAGATCACAGAATCAGCTCTCCAACTGCCAGGGGAGCTGCGGGGAGGTCTGGAAGACTTAGTTGCTAATGCCACTGGTCACGGGGATCAATACGGTTTTTCTTTCCTTTGTTTCAAGGCATCAAACCACCGTCCCGAGATCTAGGGAGATGCGTGGAAAAGGGGGTGATCCTATTGCTAGGGCCTCCCAGGGAGAGGGAGAGGGCAACAGCCTCCTGACGTACTTACTGGAGGATGTCTCAGAGTCTGTCAGCAGTGCTTCTAAGGAAACGTTGTGCCGTAGTCCGCAAGCCAGGAAAGGAGGGAGTCGGTGAACCGAGACTACTCAACTAGACAGGAAGCCAGGCCGGCGCCGGGACAGTCACGTGGGCCGGCGGCCATGACAGCTACCGAGGCGGAGCGCGCGCACGGCCCGGGGTGGCGAGCGGCCTCTCTCCTCAGCACGCTGTCCCTCAGCCCTTTGGGATGGCTCCTCCCTGGTCGTCCCCTCGTGGGCTGCGACCCCAAGCTCTCAGAGCAAAGGGCAGCGCTGGCCGGGCCTTCCGAGCCGAGGAAGGACGCGGCGCTAGCGATGGCGGCCCCCGGTGGGAACGGGGCGGCCTCAACGTGACGCGGAGCGGGGCGTGGGAGGCGGGCCCGCGGGGGCGGGGCGGCCGCCTCGGAGCCGCAAAGTTTGGCTGTGGCGGCAAATGGGCTTGGGCGGCTCCTCGGCGGGTGGCGGCGGTGACCGTAGCGCTTCCTTCTGGCCCTGTTAATGTCGGGGCCAGGCCCGGGGAGGATGGCGCCCTAGAGCCCGGCCTCGCTGGGGCAGGGGCGGGAGGGTTGATACGGGGTGGGGCCCGGCCATGTCGGAGGTGACCCGGAGTCTGCTGCAGCGCTGGGGCGCCAGTTTGAGGAGAGGCGCCGACTTCGATTCTTGGGGCCAGCTGGTGGAGGCGATAGACGAGTATCAGATGTGAGTGACTAACGGCGGGAGCGGGCCAGACCGGCTGCCGTCAGCCGCCTTCTCCCCATCCCCCCCCATTTCTGTCGGCGTCCCTTGTGCCCCCCGTGGTTGCAGCCAAGGCTTCCCAGGGTGGGGCCCCGCAGCCCCTGCGCCGGGGTCCCCCCACCCCGGATCCGCCGGCTCGGGCGTCTGCATCTCGCCCTTCTCTCGCGCTCTGCAGCCACAGGACCGGTTCCATTCAACAGGTAGCCTTCTTGGTCCGGGCTGCCGCCCCGCTTAGTTGCTTCGCCTCGGCTCACGGGGCTGCCCCGTTCGCAGCCACTTTCCGCTTCTCCTCCACCTCCCCCGTGGGGGTGTTGGGGGCGGCTACCCCTAAATTTCGCGTCTGAAACCTCTGAAGAGCCCTAAGTGTGCTCTCCGCCCACGTCTCCGGGATGGGTGGCCTTGCCGTGTGGGTGTCTTTCTCTTTTCATGTGTGGGAGAGGAGGGAGTTGGTGGCAGTCGAGGGGACAGGGATGCTCCCGGGGAGCTACGAGGGCCAGGGATGTCTTTCCTGCCAACCAGAAAGGGTCCCCTGTCGCGCCCCTTCTCCACCCTGTGTCTGAAGAACCCTGTTTTCACAGTTCCACCTCGATTTCGTTTCGGTTTCTGGGACTGTTATTTGCTAAGGCTGATGAGTCCCACCCACCCCCTCGCTTGCTTGCTTTGGGTGGAGTCCTCGCAGGATGTGAACCGAAGAGAGCAGAATGAATTCACAGACTGCGCACGGGAGCCACCACTCCCTCCCAGGCGCCCTCCTCCTTTTCCTGTGTCTGATGTATAGCCGCAGGGTACACGTGAGCACCGTTTGCCCTGTTTTCACATCAAAATTTAATGATTCCCCCCCCCCCAAGTTAAAAGACAAAATTTATGGTTATATAAATTCTTGCTTTTCTTGAACGTTTTACTGAACGTGGGAATGACCTAGGTAAATGTTACTGTTTGCAAACTGTTGCCATTAATTCCCTGGTTCAAAGCAAGTTATCATTGTTTGAGGTTCAGTGACTGTGGAACCATGCAGGAGTGAGATCCTTGTACTCCTCGTCTCCTGTTGTCTTCTGGATGGAATACAAAACCTAAACTCTTGTCCTGATAGTTGTTTTACATCTGACCTTGAAGATAAATTAGATGCATAAGGTGTTCTTTAACTCCATCTCACTGACTTTGAATAAACAAGTTTCCAAAAGCCAGGAAACAGCCATGCTTTGGGCCTTTTTGCCATGTGTAGTAGCTACGTGGGTTTGTTCTGCACTTTGACGTAATTTTGGTTGCTCTTGCAGCCATCGCGTGAGTATAATTATCCCCTTTTCACAGATTGAGGAAATGGAAGCTGAGGCTAAACCGATTCCTCAAGGTCAACAATTCCACTGAAATCTGAGGGTCCTTATTATTTAAAAAAAATTCTACACTTTTTTTCTGCTGTGTAGTCCTTACTATGTTTTTTAGAAGAAGCATTGATGGAATTCCGTAATTGGTTTGGACAGATGGGATTGCCTTCATTACTGGATATAATATCCTTGCGTAGTGTAGCAAGGTTGAGAACACCTACGGACTCCTCTGTGATGGTTAAACTGATTAAGTTGGCTCACCTGTGACGTGGTGGGACCCAACACCTGTGGGCAGCCGACCTCCCTGGGGAAAGAGGAATACCACATCCAAGGAAAATATCGAAGGAAAATTGAATGTACAGACTGTTTGGAATTTATAGGAATATCTGGATTTGGGTAATTGGTAAACACAAATCCATTGCTGAATCTCAGTCTTAAACTTTGAATTTCGTGATTCAGAATCAGTTTGCAAATTCAAAACCACAGTTTCAAATTTAAATAAAAATATGAGAGCGCTTCAGAATTACATGTAAATACGCTCGTTTTTGGTGCCAAAAAATGAAAATCATGCATAATGTTTTATATTCATTACCTTTATGTTTATTTGAGGATTTTTTTTAAATATGAAAGACAGGTAACTTACATTGTTAGTTGATCTGCATGGGTGACATGGGTTCAATACTTGGGCCATCTTTGACTAATTAGGCATGTTAGCAGAGAACTGTATTGGAAGTGTAGAACCTAGGACATAAGTCATTGCTCTTATGGGATGCAGGAGTTGCAGGTGGAGACTTAACCCTCTACACCACAACAGCAGCCCTACCCCTCCTTTTAAAAATTTTTTTGGAGAGGTCGGCTTGATGGCTTTTCAGATTAATTTTCCACTTGTAGCACTGGCATCCCACATGGGTGTCAGTTCAAATCCCAGCTGCTCCAGTTCTGATCCAGCTCTGTGCTAATGCACCTGAGAAATCAGTGGAGGATGGCCCAAAGCCTTGGGGTTCTGTACGTACATGGGAGATCTGGAAGAAGCTCCTGGCTGCTGGCCTTGGATCTGCTCAGCTGTGAACACTGTGACCGTTTGGTTTGGGGAGTGAACTATTGGATGGAAGATCTTTCTCCTTTCTGTAAATTTACCTCTCAGATAAAACTAAAGATTTGAGGGGTTTTTTTGTTTTTTTTTTTTTTTGAAACTTGATTCAACAAAGTTAAAGCCTTTAGAGTAACAAATTGATACAAGGTCTTCTCATGTAAGTCAGTATTTGAAAATTTCTTTTACTCATTATTCCTTAAGACAGCAGGCAGTATGCCATTCTCATGAAAGGGAACTGTGTCTTTCATTTAGTGACCACATGGCCAGTGAAAATAAAACATCCGTTCATACAGGTAGAAATTTAATTTCATTCTTTTACACTTGTCAATTCCGTTTTGCCAATACCATTTACTGAAAAAACTATCCTTTCTCCAGTGTATGTTCTTGACACCTTTGTCAAAATGTGGCTGGCTGTATGTACATGGATTGATTGCTGGCCCTCTATTCTGTTACTTTTCATTCCTGAGGCTTTATAGGATGCTTTGAAATCAGGTAGTATGATGCTTTCAGCTTCACCTTATTGTTTAGAATTGTTTTGGCTTTTCTGGGTCTTTTGTGTCTCTGTATGAATTTTAAGATTTTTTTCATTCTGTACCGAATGCCATTGATATTTTAGTAGAGATTACATTAAGTTTGTAGATGGTCTTAGGTAATAGGAATATTTTGACAATATTAACACTGAATCTGTGAGCAAGGGATACCTTTTTTTTTTTTTTTTTTAAGATTTTATTTTTGTTAGACAGATATACAGAGAGGAGGAGAGACAGAAAGCTCTTCCATCCGATGATTCACTCCCCAAGTGGCCTCATCGGCCAGAACTGCACCAATGAGGAGCCAGGAGACTCTTCCAGGTCTCCTGTGTGGGTACAGGGTCCCAAGGCTTGGAAGCAGGGCTGCCAGGATTAGAACCAGCGCCCATAAGAGTTCCCGGCACATGCAGGGTGAGGACTTTAGCTGCTAGGCTAGCACGCTGGGCCCTAAGGGATATCTTTCTATGGTTTGTGTTCCTGATGACTTCTTTTATTAGTGTTATTTGACTCTAATTGTAGAGACTTTCATTTTGGTTAAATTTATTTTTAAAAATTAGAATTTTTGATAGCTACTGTGAATGACATTTCTTTCTTGATTTTTGTCTCAGCAAGGTCATTATTGGGACATAAAATGCTACTAGTTTCTGTATGTGGATTTTATAACTTGTTACTTAGCTGAATTAATTTACCAGTTCTAATATCTTTTTAGTGGAGTGCTTAGGTTTTACCATGTACAAAATCATGTTAACTGCAACCATGAATATTTTGATTTCCTCCTTTCCAGTTTTAGTGCACTTTATGTCTTTAGCTTCCCTCAATGCTCTTGCTAATATTTCTGTTACTATATTGAATAAGTGTGTAGAAAGTGGACATTCTCATCTCATCCTGATTTCAGGTTCAATATATCATGAAAGTCACCCATTTTATATTTACAATTTAATATTTTTTCAGTTTAAGAAGTTATACAAAAAGATCTATTATGTACATTTGCAACCTCTCCAAAATGCCACTTCGGCCCCAGGTGAACCGTAATGTTCTGTTTCCATAGATTTTTCTAGACATTCACATACTTTGTATCATTAAATGTATGCTTTTCTACAACTGGCTTCTTTCATTGAGCATAATGGTGTAAGTATCATCTGTGCTGTAGCATGTATCAGGGCTTTGTTGCTTTTATTGATGAATAGCGTTCTGAGTACTTAGGCCGATAGATCAGGTTCCTGTCTCAGAAAAGGGGCGAGAGTGCCTTTAAGAGTGTGC